TTTATATTTTGCAAAAGAGTTAAACTAACCCAGCCACCATATTGTATAAAACTACTAACATCTCTACAACAAATAAAATGTCTAATAATGGTTGCTGTTATCTGTCAGAAAGGCGTGTTAAAGACATTTTTTGTCTTTAAGCTTGAACAGAGTGCTTCAAGTGCTTAAAGACCAATTGCTGTAATTGTGCAGTGGTAGAACGCTTTCTTTGTAAGCAAGAAGTTCCAAGTTTGATCCCCACCACTTTGAATAACTTTGACTTTAAATGACTTTGCAACTTATGAAAATGCAATTTTTTTTCATGCTATATTTTTAAATACATCTTTAAGAAGGTTTATTATAAAAGTTAATATCAAGTAAAAAAATAGACATAATTGTGACATCTTACAAAGGTGTAAATAGTTTTTATGATTATACAGTCTATTTGAAAACATCTTTTAGATGTATTCAAGAGGTCTTAGATTAGCAGATGGTTGTTTTAATTAATGTCTATTAAATGTCTTAAAGACATCATTTGAATACAAGACCAGTTAAAGAACTGAATAAGGCAGTCTTACAGATGTCTTGTGCTTGCTGGGTTGTATGTTAATTATTAAAATTATATTTCTCAAACACCAACTACCATATTGAATTGTATAAAGCTGTCATTAGCAGCAGTTACCTTATTGCATTCTTTAAAAAAGCAAAATGGTTATTTTCAGTATAAGCTATTAAGAACACTCAAAACTTTTTAAATTTTGCTCATATTAACATCATAAACATTGCTTTTATTTCTCCAAAAAATATCAAAATTAACTACAAAACTGTATTTCAAAATTAACTTCGAAACTTTATTTCAAAAATTACTTTGAAACTATATTTCAAAGTTAATTTTGAAACTTTATTTTAAAATTAACTTTGTAACTATTTTTTCAAGTTTTTCTTATATTAACATCCTAAACATTGCTTTCATTTCTCCAAAAAATATCAAAATTAACTTATATCAAAATTAACTTTAAAACTATATTTCAAAATTAATTTTGAAACTATATAAATTAACTTCGAAATTATATTTGTAAATCAACTTTGAAATTATATTTAGAAACTGCAAAGGTTTATGATAGAACTATCTAGTGTTCTTAAAATACTTATGATTAATTTAGGCTTGGGGCTTAGCAAAAACCCAGGTTTGACACATTCTACTAATATGTAAATAAATTGCACTATATACTATTTAGTTCTCTTTTAAACCTTTTATTTGATTTACGTACAATTATTTTTATTTATACCCATCAGTATGTATCTCAGTAGGTTGAACTCAGTAAAATTGGTAAAATTGATTGAAAGTATAAATTAATGTATGTGCTTGTAAATTTACTGGTAAATTATTATTATTGCAATCACCCATATTATTGACCATATCTACAAGCTTGGTCATTGATTGGTTGCAACAGTGATAATTTATTGGTTAATTACATCAAGTAGATATATCGATTTATATCATTTATTAAGCTTAACCCTACTCAGTATGATGTCATGATTGGCATTTTACGTCAATCTAAACAGTAAAAGACTTCTTTTACTTTAGATGATGAAAATGATTCTTGAAGCACAAAAAGATCAAATTGAACCAGAACTTGTTGCACTTGCTATTAACCTTGCTGCAAACAAAAGAAATGCACAACTTATATGTGATGGAAATGGGCTTCGTTTGTTGTTAAGACGTGCAATGAAATTTAAGGATACCCTTTTAATGAAAATGATTAGGAATATATCTCAGCACGATGGTGCCACAAAGAAGGAGTTTATAGCAAGTTTTTACTTGTATATTTAAATTTTATTTGTTCATTTTATGCTTTTTGATAAAGTACACAAAGTAAGTTAATATATATTTGTGCGTGTGCGAGGATAGATAAAGCTGTACATATATCTATGTTAGTGTTAAATATGCAGGTTTTGTTATACAGATAACTGATTATTAAAGATAACTTCAAATTTTATTTTTTTTTCTATTTTGTCATTTAGAATTACATTTCAGACCTTGCTAATATGATAAAAAACGTCAACAATGAAGCTTTTGTTGTAGAGTGTGTTGGGATTCTTGGAAATTTAAACATGCCTGAGATGCAGTATTCTATGATGCTTAAAGAATATGACCTGCTAAATTACATTCTTTCTAAACTCTCTCCTGGTATTTACATCAATAACTTATAGTACATTCTTAATAGTTAACAAATTTTATATAAATTCTTTAAAAGTAATATTTAATCAAATTTAATAAGTAGGTTAACTTTTGGTTTTATATTACAATTACCACTCAGTATTTTTAGATACATGTTTGTATTTACAACAATAAAATGGCTGATTTGCTTGTAAAACTTTTTCAGTTCATGTTAAAAATAAGTTTTAAATAACAGTTGAAATAACCATAATCAAGAGCTGATTATGATAATTTTTATTATTAAAAAGTTTTTAATTTACAAAATTTTACAAAAGCTTAAAAACTTGTTAAAACATACTAACTTGTTTGTTAAAACATACCAGCACGTTTTTTTTTACAAATAATACACACCAAAAGTAGTAAACTAATTTACAGATCTTTAACATGTAAATTTATAAAGTATATATTGCAATGCTTATATTTTCAGATTTCAGATCTCAAAATATAAGTATTGCATCCAAAAATATAGGTAATTTTTGAGTGTCATAAATCTAGAAAAAAGACCTGAAATCTCAAACTATATTTCTAAACACAGTATTGGATATTATAACATTTGCATGATTAATTTGCACAAAGTAATATATTATAAGTTATACACTAAAAATTACACTTTTTTTTTTAAATATATCTACCTTACCAAAACCAAGATATATATATTATTTATATATATGAATATATATATATATATATATATATATATATATATATATATATATATATATATATATATAGATATATAGATATAGATATATATAGAGAGAGCATATATAGCATGTATATATGTGTGTGTGTATGTATATATATATATAAATAGCTATATATATATATGTATATATATATATAGTATATAATATATATATATATTCATATATATATATATATGTACATAAATATATATGTACATAAATATATATGTATGTATATATATATATATATATGTATGTATATATATATATATATATATATATATATATATATATATATGTATATATATATATATATATATATATATATATATATATATATATATATATATAATACATACATATATAAATAAGTTTATTGAGGTTACTATATGTTGGCGTAACCTTTTTTTGCTAGTCTAAATTAAGTGGAATTTTTGAGAAAACGACGAGGAAAAATGAAGAATAATGAATGAAAAGGTTGCTGACCCATACCAAACCCTCAGTCCATGTAGCAGCACTCCTCTGCGAATCAGGCTATTTGTCAGTCGATGTATGTACTGAAGCCCCCGGCAGCAGGCTATTTCAGTATGGCGTCATCATGCTCACCTAACTCAGCAGTATAAGATATATACATATATATATATGTGTATGTATACATATATATATATATATATATATATATATATATATATATATATATATATATATATATATATATATTATATATATACATACACATATATCTATATATTATATATGTATATATATATAAATCAGGCTTGGTCGGGAAGAGGGTGCGATCGCACTCGATAATTGACCACGGAAATATTATTTAGTTGCGAAAAACCGGCCAGATTTTTTAGTCGTTTTGAGAGCATTTGAAAAACAAACAAAAAAGTGCAATAAGATTAACTGGACCGATAAGAGACAGTTAAAAAAAAGAAAAATAGCTTTTAACGCGAAAAAACTTTAAGCAAAATAAATGTATGAGAGCAATTATTTTTGAAACGTCGCTCTTTTATAATTTTTTTTTATAAAATTAAGTGACTTTTTTTATATAAATTAACAACTATAAAAAAACAAATGTTCTTCGATTTATCAAAGAGTATATATAATTTTTATTTATATACTTATGTCTTATTTCCAGTGCTGGATTGAGGAGGTGGGGTGGGGGTAGTAGGGCTATATCCCCGGGACTCACAATGTTAGGGGAAATAGTCAAGAGGACCATTCGGTATTTTTTTTAGTCATTTTTATGCTGTGGCACATAAAAAGGCTGCAAAAATAATGCAGCCTCTGACCCTGAAAAATCCAACAAGATTCAACCAAATGATTTATTTATAAAAAAGTTTTTTTAATAACTGTATTATGCTTCACGTAGTTTAAAAAGTGTAACATATTTGAAATAATTCTTCTTAGTAGGATAAACAAATAAAATAATTAATTCATTGAGTTACTGTAGAAATTCAATTAGCTAGATAAAAATTCAATAAAACGTTAAATTACTTTGTGAGGAGGAAGCGGAACTGCTTCACAATACTGCTGATGATGTTTTAGTAAATGGGCTTTATAATTTTAATTAGTATTTAAAACAGAAAAAAGTAACTCTAAGTATAACGAGTTTGTAAGAATGGCTGAAGCAAAAATAATTGAAGTTAGTAAACCAATTTCTAAGAACTTAAAAACTTTTTTTTCTTGGGAGAATGAATCAGTAATCGGGTACACTGAGTAAAATGGATTAGTGGTTAAAATTATTTGTATTAACTTTGATGATTATTAATAATTTCATTAAAAACGCAGTTATTATTGAAAGTATTTTTGTTTATAAAATCAATCGCACATATTGCTTTAAAAAATTACATTTGAATAAAATACACATACATAAAACTACATACATAAAAACTACATACATAAAAATACATTACAGGCATAAAAAATACTTTACATACATAAAAAATACATCCCTTATATATTAAAAATTAGAATATACTAATAAAATCTATAGAATATTTACAAAACGTTGACAAGTTAAAAAATATAAATTTAAAACATTTATTATTGTAAACAAATAATGTTAGTTTAAAACATTTATGGCTTTGTAGATGTGGCTCAAG